CAGACCAATCATGTTCCCTGATATTTAAGTCATTTTAGTCAAAGCCTCTTAGTGCATCCTCAACACTGTCATTCCAAGGGGCTTCCTTAGAATTCCCTTTGCAAAGTCTTGCACAAACACGAGGCTAAGCACCAGGAAGAAAGACTGCTATTAGCAGTTTTATTTCATCATTTCATCATCATCATCATCATCATCATCAAAAAGCATGCAGTTTCTTCCTTCTATGTACATGGCATTGTCTAATGGGTGCTACACCCTGCCTATGGTACAAAGTTTATAAATACAATATACCAATACAAAGTTGAAGCCATTAAAAATGCATTTGTGTGTGTGTGTGTGTATGTCTATGCAAATGCATTAGTAGTTTTGCAATTTTATTACATGTGTAGCTTTCTATAACCATCACAGTCAAGGTACTTGACTGTTAAATCACCACCCAAAGTTGATATCTGTCTACAGCCACAGCTCTGAGTTTCTCTCCATCTGCAGCCTTTGGCAACCACTAATCCGTTCTCCAACTCTATAATTATGTTATTTCACAAATGTTTTATAAATGGAATCATGCAATATGTATCCTTTATGAGTTATTTTGCTCTTTTTTTCAATCTCAGTGCTTTTTACAGCATTTTAATATTAGTGAGTTTGCTTACTGATGATAGCACTTTGGTTTAGCAAAGAAAATGCTCAGATTTTGTTTTGTCTTATTCAGTAGGTTTCACTTGCCAACATGTAAGTCATGCTGTCAGTGTGAATCATGTGAAAAAAGCAATAGCTGAGAATCTGTGGTCAGCTTGCTCAGAATGTTTAAAAGAAAGAAGATTCCATGATGGACAGCCAGTACTTTCTTCTGAGATTTGGTTGTGCCTCAAATGTGGTTTTCAGGTGAGAAAAGTTTTTTTTGTGTTTTTTTTTTATGTGGGAGTTTGTCTTAAATATTTTCCTTAATGATTATTTTGAGTTGGATTGTCAGTAATGCTAAGAACTTAAGATAAATTTATTCCATGTTTTGATAGAACGCGCCAAGAAATGTCTTACAAATGTTTAAGGTAAAGTAAAAGGTGTTTTGTTCAGAAAGTAATCACGTGTGGTTTATAAGAACTTGAAAAGGAATCCAGTCCACTCGAAATAGTTCTCATATCTAGACCTCCTTTTACTATTTCTATTTGATGATTTTTGAGTTTGGGTATGATTTAAGTTTTGGTTGATTTAGAAACAAATATGTATATAAATCAAAACAGCAATCTGTTCCTCTTTAGGGATGTGGTAAAAACTCAGAAAGCCAGCATTCATTGAAGCACTTCAAGAGTTGGAGAACAGAACTTCACTGTATTATAATTAGTCTGAGCTCATGGATTATATGGTAAGTTAGATTTTGTTAGTACTTATGTCCACTACCCTCTTTTTTTTTTTTTTAGCTTTATGGGTAAAATAATTAAAGATGTTATACCAGCTTATGCTTTTTAGCCTGACTACAACCTATGGAATAATTTAAGAAAATAATTACTCATGAATATAAAATTTAAATAAGAAAGAAAATAGAAAAATTCCTTCCAGTCACTTTTTCGTAATGAACTTGCTAATACAGAATCCCGAGTTCTAGAGGAGGAGCAAGTAACTTGCCAGGAATCACATTCTTAGTCTTCAGGATGAAATGAAAGTAATGTTTAGGCTGTCTCTAGTTAAATAGTAGGTGAAAAGGAATGCCTCGCATTTTGAAAGGGAAGTGGAGAAAGTTGAAATGTACATACTCTTTCTGTTTCCTTCTTCAAGTGACTCAGTCTCGGTTTGATTTTGGCAGGTAGTTATAGCTTGGTGTTTGGAATATTTGAGGTGGAGAAATTAAAGTGCTCAGGTATTTGGGAGAAATGGAAGCATCTTTGTGCCCTTGAGAGAAGAATATGGTTATTTGAAAATTAAAAACATACTTGCTTATTTTGATCATTTGTCTCCACACAGTGCACACAGCAGGAATATGTTAAAAGGGGTAATTAAGGACCATGCAAAGTCATTTGTTATTTGGGAATATTCATTAAGGAGAATTCTGAGAATTCTTATTCCTGTAAATTATGCCATTGTTCCTCTCTCTCTTTTCTCCCAACAATGATGAAAATAGCGTCTATTCAAAACGATTTTAGGTGTGTACTTCTAGGAATATATCCCAAGAAACCAGAAACACCAATCAGAAAGGATATGTTCATAGCTGCACAATTTACAATAGCTAAGATTTGGAAGCAGCCTAAGTGCCCATCAGCAGATGAGTGGATTAAAAAAACTGTGGTGCATCTACACAATGGAATACTATGCTGCTGTAAAAAGGAAGGAACCCCTACCATTTGCAACAGCATGGATGGACCTTGAGAGCATTATGCTAAGCAAAATAAGTCAGTCAGAGAAAGATAAATATCACATATATAATGAACAACATAAACTGATGAACAAAAACAGATCCAGAGATAGAGAAGCATCGATCAGAGCATCAAACCTCAGAAAGAAGGCAGGGGAAGGTGAGGGGGAGGGGGAGAGATCAACCAAAGGACTTGTATGCATGCATATAAGCCTAACCAATGGACACAGACACCAGGGGGGTGAGGGCATGAGTGAGGAGGTGGCGGAGGAGGGGGGGCGGAATGGGGGATAAGGACACATATGTAATACCTTAATAAGAATAAAAAAAAGATTTTAGGTGTGTATCTTAATGGAAAGAAAATATATTCAAAATGCTAGACACATTGTAGCTGCTCAGTAAATAATCTCCTTTATTTTATTTATTACATTTTTATTTTTGAACTAATTTTAGATTCACAGTACGGTAGAAAGAAATATACAAGGAGGTCCCACTCACCCTTCACTTAACCTCTATTGGTTTAACATATTGTATTTCTATAGTATATCCAAACCAGGAACCTGACATAGGTGCAATGCTTAGGTTATTCAGATTTCACCATAT